AGAATCTCGGGCCATGGAGTGGTAGATAGCGGTGATGTTTTTGTACTTCACTGATGTGAAAAACATGGAAGTGCTGGACGCAGCTGCAGGATGGAGTTGCCTGCACTACCGCTCTTTCACTTTCCTTTCCAGAGAAGCGCCGAGTTAGGTACTTGGAGCCTAAAAGCTCTGCGTTGAGAGCATCCGATGGAAATACAGACCAGGGAGTTGGGGAGAAAGTCCGGTTATCCAGACAGGCTTGAGACAGCAAATCAGACAGGCTGCTGGCAGGGTGAATGTAGGTGCCGGGATACTGGCCTGAGAAGATGGAGTAAGTTGAAATGTCAGAAGATGGGAGTTTACTGAAGTCCTCAGCAGTGTTGAGAGAGTAACCACTACCGTGTTTGATCAGATCACTGGCTTTTTCTGTGGTCTGGTCTTTGGTATTATCTAGCCTTAGGTGCTCAAAAATTATCAGTGGGCCGCCACTTAATGAAAAAGTTAAGGGCTACTTTAAACAAACTAATAGCCAAACCCCCATAAAATTATCAGCTAGCACCAGGCTTGTATTAATTTAAATCCTTTATAACATTTGTTTTAACTCAGTTTGTTCTCTAAATTCTTCAAAGTTAATAGAATTTTCTTAATAGCTCTTTCTCTACAGAAACAAGAAAAAAAGCTTAACTGCGTGTGCGTGGTAGTTCTCTTTCATCCTCTTCATCTTTGAAATCAGTGGCTGATAGAAAAACAGTTGGTATATAGAAAGAGCTCTGGGGTTAAGGAGTTTGTTTTGGTTTTGGTTTTTCCTTCTCTATATCCCCCCCAAGATTTCAAAAGCAGCGATCTGGAAAGAGGGGCCTACCTCTGTCAGTCAGGATATCTAATCTGCTTAATAAGCTTTAGACTTCATGTTTACCTTCTGGCAGTAAGATCCACCACTGAGCTGTATGTTTTTTAATGTACATTATTGTCTAATGAAGTGGGGTTTGCTGCTTCAGAGGAAGGATGGTCAGCCGGATAGCTGGGATGTTAGTTTACGATATACCAAGCTGAACTCCAGTTTCCCTGTTGCAGTGTAGTCTCCCTTGGTCGAGTTGTTTAATACCACAGAATATGTCTGTACTGGTAAATGAAAAAGGGCCAAGGAATGAGCTCAAGCACTGGCTTGATCTCTGATTATCTACAGTGCCTGTTAGCTCTTGGCTTAGCTCTGTTTTGGACCAGCTTTCTCTAAGACGAGTTCCTCTACATCTTACTTAGTACTGATTAGTACAGATCTGGGCCAGTCTGTGGTGGCTGTAGGACCGAAGGTTGGTTTGCGTCACTCTCCTGTTCAGTAATACACACTTTGCTGTTCATTCCAGCTTTACAACAGAGGGAATAAGACTGCATCCTACAAAAATGGATTACAGATAAATATTAAAACTTGCAGGACACTTAATTAGTATATTTATATCATACACTGAAGATAATAATGATTGAGGATCTTCCTTACACGTGATCAGATTTCTACTTAAATGTTGTGTTTCATAGAATATTTCCTCTTGTATCATGAGGGAGCAATCCAGTTGGCTTATTTACTTTATACCGTCCATTCTTTTGTATTAAACTTAATGATTTAATAAGAGTTGAATTTAATTCATTCTTCAGGCTGACTTTTAGTTACCTTGTGTTCAACTCAAGATCTACCGTGAATTCCTTCTTCCGTTTCCAAGTGCTCTGCCACCCAAATGCATGGTTTGGTGGTAGCTGGTATACACATACTGCAAACTTGGGATGTTTCAAACAATCGTAGGCAAGTTGTAACAATCGCACTCTTCGGAACAGCTGAGCCAGCTTTTGTGTCTCCCCCATGTATACACGGATCGTGCTGACATCTCTGTTCTCTTACAGACCTTTTTTAGTGTTAATACTGAGCTTTAGCAAGAACAGTGGTGTTGACAGTATGACGAGCGTACAGTAAATAGTAAATTAATGCACCATTAAGTTGAAATGTAGCTGAGACTTCAGGATTTTACTTGATGTCTCTTCTTGTTGTATACTAACAATCACTAGCAAGAGTTATTTAAAATCTGTAAAGTATCTTTTCCCTAGCCTCCCCCCAGCAAAAAAACAAATCAAAAAATGTGGAGCAGACTGTGGTACTGCAGTTGAGTTCACACAAATTAATTGTTTACTTAAAGCCTTACAAAGGGCCTGTTACAGAATTGGATTTGTAGGCACTGAAAATGTCAAAATGCTAGATCTTGCACAGAAAGAAGTAAACTCTGATCTTGAGTTAAACTCTGTCTTAGTCTTCTAAACATTTTTTGTGTTTTGGAAAACTACAATAATTTTAAAATCAGAGTTCTTTATGTTAAATAGTTTTTCACCTTTATGCCCCTCTTACAGGGAAGATCGATTTTTTTCATTGGTAAATACCAGTGTTGACACAAGATGATGTGGTTTGGGAGTCCCTAGGGGTTTTTGCTAGCAAGGAATTCAACTGTGCATATCTTAAATGGTTAATATCTATATCATAAAATATGTGACATGGTTAAGTATAATCTTCCATGTAAAGATACAGCTGTATTGGCAAACTTGTTAGTTACTTTAATTATAATTGCTTGCTGTTGTGCTAGTCAGAAGCCTACTTGTAACTTCTAAATTTTATGTCCTTGGTGGTTATTAAATGCATGGTTTTCTTTTGCCACCCTTGTTCAGCTGAAATCACAGATGTTGAGTCTACTGACCTTATGGCAACCTGCCAGTACGTGGGGGGGACTTTTTACAAGGGCCTGTAGTGACAGGACAAGGGGTAACGGGTTTAAACTGAAAGAGGGAGATGAAGATTGGACATCAGGAGGAAATTCTTCATGGAGAGGGTGGTGAGGCACTGTAACAGGTTGCCCAGAGAAGCTGTGGATGCCCCATCCCTGGGAGTGTTCAAGGCCAGGCTGGATGAGGCTTTGAGCAACCTGGTCTAGTGGAAGGTGTCCCTGCCCCTGGCAGGGGGGTTGGAACTAGATGGTCTTTAAGGTCCCTTCTAACCCAAACCCTTCTGTGATTCTATTGGCAGCAGGTAACTACAGTCAATCAGAAAAATCTCTAGCCCAAGATTGTTCTTTCTGCTACATGATGGGGACAGCGAGCCTGCTGGCTTAAGTTGCTGGTGACCTGCTCCATGTCTCCCCTTGAGAAGGGGCTGCCTTCTGCAGCCACCTCTGTTACATTCCTGGCTGTGTGTCTGTCGGTGGTCTGAAGTCCCGTATCTTGTCTTTTACATGAAATTGGATTCTGTCGTATCATAAAAATACAGATGTGTTTCACATTACATGGCACTTCTGTCATGTGACTGCAGAAGCATCATTCACCTAAGTGCTGTCTGCATTTTGATCATGAAGGATCTAGTACAGCACAGCAATTCCAACTCTGCCAATATTTTCATGACCTGCACTACTTAAGTTTTTCTGTTTTTGTTGGAGTAGAAGGATATTTTCCAGATTATAAATGTATGTATCTTTTATTTATAGTTAGACTAGAACAAGAAGAGACATTAAATAAATGTAAATGTAGGTACTATTTCAGTATCTTAATATAAGTTTGGATTTCCATAGTTCTTTTATTCTTTCCTGATCTACTTTCTTGTCATCCAGTTCACTTATAGAGACTAATCCAATCTCTTAACCTTTGGTTTATTTGCTTAGTAAGCCAAAGGTATCTCTGCCTAGAGAAAAGTAATTGACTCAGGGGAAAATTTCAGTAGCCTTCTGCATGCCTCTCTCTGTTCTGATGCAGCTTACTTGAATGTGGCTCAACATTGCGTGAGGTCTCACCAGGGCTTTGTACAGAGGTGTTAATGCTTCTGTATGTGTAATGGAAGTGGTTTTCTTTCACACTTTGGACTTTACTTATCCCTGTGTTTTCTGTAGCTTGTTGTCATTGTGATTGACAGATGTCTCTAGACTTTTTTTCTTTATTCCATCCAGCTTACAGCACAGAACCATTGTTTTTCTTAAAAATGCATTCTCTTTCATTTTTAAATAGTATCCCATTCTTGTTGTTTGTGATCATTGCTCTGATTTTTCTGAATTGGCACTGCCTCTGAACACTGTCAGCAAAAACCCTCGCTGGAATTTTTTTACATTGTGTGTTGTAAACGCTATCTTAGGCCAAGAATTATTTGTATTTGCTGCATTTGGCCAAGACTGAAAACTTGCATTCTGCTAAAACAGTGATTTTCATGCATTTTAATGTTCAAAGAAATCTATTGGATTCTTTTCTGCTATTCAGTTGTTGAAATATGAGGTTGTTCAAGGAATACCTTCCAAAATAGAAATAAAACCTGCAACCTTTTGCACATAATGGTATTTCAATTTTTTGTTAGCTGGGGAGCAAGGAAGGGAAAATGCCAGTCATCTTTTCACTTTTATAAACACTGTAAAGGAAGTAAGTAATTCCCTGTTTTAATTTTGTTAATTAGGAAGAACTATGTCAAACTTTGCCTTCTCTGTCTTGTCTTGAAGTCTTACCAAGATTTGTTTAAAACTGTTGAGTGTTTTCCCTGAAATCATTTAAATAAAAATGTACTGAGTTTGGAAGTTCAGCCTTTATTTAAATAGACAAAATGTTAACTGAATTCCTTAATACCCTAGAGATTGGTTTGAAAATTTTATCAAAGATATAATTTCTTTTTTTTTTTTTTTTAGTCCACCATTTGCTACTGATTTAAATACTTTTTAAGATGGAAAGTTCAATATTGGGTGTGTCCATATTCTTCTGATGCTTAACTTTAAGAAACAGTTGTCTGAGGTATCTAGATATGATGGTTATAGAGTGAAATTCCCTGCTGGGAATCATATGTTCTAAATCTGAAGGCTAATAGGAGATAACCATAACATACCAGACACTTTACCAAGCCACTACCTGACTTTCTGCTAATACACTGAATATAGTCATTGTTAGAAGACATTTTATTCTAAGGTAAACTTTGTTTGGCTTCATCTGTGACTGCTCCTACTAATCTATTCCAATTTGCAGTAATGGAACAACTACAGGACCCAGTTATGCAAGAAGATGCAAATATTAAAGCTATTAATGAAGAGTACAGGAAAGCCTTTATTTTTATCAATAAAGGACTGAGTACAGATGAACTGGGTCAGAAGGAAGAGGCAAGAAATTGCTATAAGCAAGGACTTGACCACTTGCTCCGAGGAGTTAGCATTCCGTCGCAGGGCCCTGCATGTGTAGGGTCCCAGTGGGAATCTGCCAGGCAAATGCAACAGAAGATGAGGGAGACCCTCCAAAACGTTCGTGCTCGACTCTGCATTCTGGAGCCAAACACCCCGCCTGTACAAGCAAGCCCTACTGCGATGGATGCCCCTGCTGGCGTGCCCAAGTTGTACCCATCCATTCCTTCCAAAGAAAAGCCAGAAAGACCCCCACCCCCCAAGTCTCTGTTTGCACCGACTCAGCCACCTGCAGCGGATGGAAGTGTTGCAACTGCGAGCCAGGGCCAAGTTCCAGCTACGAGTCCATCATCTGCAAAACCTCTTTGTCTGCCAAATGAAGCACCTCCTGCCTATACTCCTCAGGCTACCAATGGCCATTTTACTGTGTCCTATGGCACAGACTCCGGGGAGTTTTCTTCTGTAGGTGAGGACTACTACAGTAAGTGTACTCAGCCACCGCCCCTTGAAAACCTGGGAGTGGATGCAGATGAGCTCATCTTGATTCCCCAAGGAGTACAGATATTCTTCGTGACTCCTGATGGGCAGGTTAGTGCTCCTTCCTATCCTGGATACCTACGCATCGTGAAGTTCTTGGATGCAGATAGTGAGATGGCCCAGAATCGTCCACCTGCATTTCTCCAGGTAACAGGAAAATAATTTTTCTCCTTTTAATTAAATTTCAAGATTGTTGTAAAACTTTAAAAGGCAGTCGTCTTAAGTTCTTGCTCTTCTGAGCCTAAATATCTGCATGATAACACGAAGGGTGTTTGTAGCTGTTGGAAAAACAGCTTTCTGCATGCTTTTATTTTCTGCAGAAATCACCTCTGTGTCTTCCCAAGGTTGTTGAGTGCTGACTCTTCTGGTGAATTCTGTTTTCCAAGGGAGTTGACTTAACATGTCTTTTTGTGTTGAAAATTAACTGCCCTTTCCTCACACAGAGAAGACCCGTTGATTCACTTATTCTAATACGCCAGTGTAAAACGGGGTTGCGCACTACCCGCTTCAGTCTCGGCTAGTGATGAGGTATTGCAGTTAGGACACCGATAATTTGGAATTTCAGGGCCCATGTTAATCCAGACTCTTAACTACAAATAAAAAAGATGTATTTGGATTTTTTCAGCCCATGCTTGTTTCCATGGGCAGGTTTTGTAACGGACACTGTGTTTCTGGTCTGTTTCTCACTCTGGATCCCCTTGTTGATGCTAAGACTGGCTGTTGGAAAGTTCATCAGCAAAGGGGAAACCTGGAGCAACGAACAAAAACAGCTTCCTGGTTTTGGGACTACTGGTTCACATACAGCTGTGTTAGCAGTCTTCAACAGCCAGTCACCATCAGCCATATATTCTCTTTATCCAGGGAATCCTGACTTTGGCAGTGCTTTTCATCTGCTTCTACACTTGGGCTCAGGACTAGACCACAGTTAAGAGGCTACCAGCCTGAACTGTAGTCCTGTGCAAATTAGTATTTTCTCTATATTACTGTCAGAAATAATCAAGAATGATATTTCCACAATCATGTGGGGAGTTTGTTTCAGGTTTTTTCCCCCCCCGCACCCTCCTTTTTTTTTCCCCAAGATGGCATAACACTCTTTAATTTTTCTTACTAGATGTTACGGAAAATCAAGTTTGTGGTTCATAACAGTACTGCCTTTCTTTTTAAAAGGATTAATTTCTTTATGTACTTACTGTTTCTAGGTTTGTGACTGGTTGTATCCCCTAATGAGTAACCAGTCTCCTGTTCTGTGCTGCAATACGGGGGTCTACATGTTCCCTGACACGATGTCCCAGATACCAGGGTCCTACGTGGGAGTAGTGCTGTCTTCAGAGCTGCCGGCAGCTGACAGAGAGCTCTTTGAGGATCTCCTAAAACAGATGTCTGACCTTCGAATTCAGGTAAACTCCTGGGCTGCCTTTTTAAAGCCATTAAGGACAGGTGGAAATGATCAGTACGTTCTCCCGTTTACATTTAGTTGTGTAAAACTGCCGAGTTCTCTGTCTTGCTTGGTAAGCTCACCAGTGAGAAGCAGGTAGAGCAGCCAAGCTTAAACAGCCTAGGAATGAAACTGTAGGCTCTGTGAGATGGGAGGACATACATTTTAATAACATTAAATTGTAAGGACAGAGGAGAGTTGAACACCATTTTGTATATTTGTCTCTAGTTTTCCAAAAGATAACATAGGGCCCAGAATGAAATACTCTGTTCAGGGCACTTTTTCCTGTGTGTGCGCACATACACGCACTCTTTGTGTAGTTTTGATGATACCGTTCTTGGAATATTGTGCCCAAATCTGTTTAGAGTTCAAAAATATTAACAGCTCCAGAGAAGATCTGCGTCAAAATAGTGTGTACCTCAAAAATCTGCCTTCAAATGGGATCTCAAAATAGATAAATCTGGTGCCTTATTGCACCAGATATTAACAGATAGAGAAAATGGGAAAAAAATCCCCACCCCACAGTCTAAACAAAGGTGCAATAAGATACAGTGACAGGAAACAGGGTGAAAAATGTTGCTGTAAGGGCACTGGAGCGCCGGTTCAGGAAGAATGGTGATCAGTAACTCCTGAAAAGCTCATGGCAAGATTATATCTCTTCATGGAAAAGAGAATTCTGTAGAATCACGGAGACTTGAATGCAGTGACGGTGAGGGACCAGTTTGGAGCGTGCTGTGTGGGCAGAGTTCTGTTAGGCTATAAATCCTGTTGAGTTCAACAGGGAATTTAACTAACACAGGAGGCCACTATTTTTTACCTCAAAAAGAAAAGTACTACAGTATTATGTGATGTTTCAGTGCAAGACTTACTGGATAGAATTCTGTAGTCTTTCTGGCATAGAAGTAGTTCAAATTCGGTATCTCATTAGTTCCTTGTTGTCCTAAAATTCTATGTTTTTGTTAATGTTCCCTGATACGATGTCACAGGTGCCAGGATCCCATGAGAGAGTAGGGTTATCTTCAGAGCTCCCAGCACCTGAGAGAGCGCATTTTGAAGATAAATTTAAACCGATGTCTGGCCACAAAGTCCAGGTAAATTCCAGGACAGTGATTCCAAAATTTTAGTTTAAAAACCATAAATTATCACTGAAATACATGTTAGACCTGCTGAGATTCCAGACTTGGTTGAAAGCAGCACCTGTGCCCTGCATTGTTTTTGTGGGTGTTTTTTATTTATTTGTTTTTGGGGTTTTTTTGTGAAGAGCCTGTCCAATTACTGCAGGCTACCACGTTTAGCAAATCGTTAGCACATTTCTGGAGTTCTGAAGACATTGTGATAGAACACAAATATTTCAAGGCCTAGTCTGCTGGACATTTAGTGTATCTGTTTATATAGTACTGATAAGGATCTAATTAACAAGTATACTTAATGTAATTATAGTGTAGAGTCACCTGTCTTACTAGAGAACCAGATTCTGCTCCTTAGAAGTCTTGTTGAATGTTTTTCTAAATACATCACAGTTTGCGTCACTAAAAAAAATTATATCTGGGGCATACTTTGGCATTGTTTTAATTGGGTTTTTTTCTAGTTATAGCTGTGTATTAAGGTAATTTCTCTGCCCCCCACCCATAGTGTTTCAGTCACATGTTAACGACACTTCCTAAACGTAACATTTCGCACTGCTGTTGAGCAATGATTGATTATACAGTACAAGTTAGTGATACATTGTTAACCTAGCAACTTTCCAAGCCTTAACGTACTCTTTTCTGTTAATACTGGTTTTGTTTTACTGCAACAGTCATCTTTGTGCAATACCCTATTCTTATTTCCAGTAAATATTTTGGAGGAATCTAAGAATTCCGTGCGATAGCCCACATTATGCTATACTGTGTATTCTCTTCTGTTCCTAGGTTCCATCTATGAATGCTTTCATAGAGACTTCTAGGCTAAACAAAGAGGTTTTTCTTACTGTCCCTCATTAGCAGGGTTTTCAATCACCAAAATGTTTATTTTGTTTTTCATTTTCATTTTGGAAAAGTCTTAAAAATAGAATCCTAACCAAAACTTTACATCTATTGCAATTTTTTCCTTTCTCTAGTTCAAGTTTAATGACACGTTGTCTGTGAACTGTGTAAAGTGAAGTTACACTTGTTAGAAACACTAACTGGGCTGGGGTGGTGGTTGCTGTGTTTGAGTGATGAAGGTTTACTCCAGAAACTGGTCTTTGACATGAAACCACGCTGAACCTGCCCACCCAACTTCAAGTGGGGAGCAGGGTCATGCACAGCTTGATGCATTCCTTGGCTGTGCCAGCCTGCAAAAGCATCAACAGCAGGTAGAGTGAATAATCTCCTTCATTTTTTGAATTTGGGTGGGAAGAATGAGGAACAAAACAACCAGAACAGCTGCATTCTTTTCGTGCAGCTGGACTGCAGTTCCCATACTGAATGACAACACAGCTGACTTGCCTCTGAGAAGATAAAAATTATAGATGGGCAAGGCTCTTACCATTTCTTGCTAGTTAACTCATACTGCAAGCTTCCCCTACTTAGTTACTTGACCATATGGCTGTGTCGGCATGCAGATCTTTCCACTGAAGAAAGTATACAGAAGATGCTGAGCTACCTGATAAGCTTTTCTTGAATGCACAGCATTCCTGTGCAGAAGTAATCCAGTCATGAATGTCCACTCAACTTCTGTATGCTTACCCAAGGAATACACAGCATTAGCTTTTTGTGATGATGGATCTGTATGATCTAAAATATATACAACAGAAATCCCGATGTGTTGCAGAGCAGACTCTCAAGTGTTACCTTCACTTGTTAGCCTTCAGAAGCCTCTAGTGATGCAGTCAACTTGCCTCAGATTGTACATATCCAACCGCAACCTGAAGGAGCGGAAGAGTTGCCAGAATGGAGTGAGAAAGTCGCCCATGGAATCTTGTCAGGTAAGGTTGTAGTAAGAGGATTGTGTTGAATATAAACCTCTGTCAGTAACATTTAAATGGTATTTTCACCAAACTACATGTATGCCACTAGAAGGTGAGCAGTCAGAAGTGGTTGTTCACAGTTCCAGTTGTAATCATCTCAAGGGTATTGGGGTGGGCTCTGTAAAAACAGTGCAGAATTTAAATCCATTGCCAACAGTCTTGTTCATTGCAAATGAAAGAGGATTCTCATTTGACTGAATGTTGGGCTATCACCCCCTGTGACTGAAACCACTGTGACAGAGCAATTTTCTTCCTGTATGAGCAGTTAAAAGCAGGCATCTACTGTGATTTCTGCAGATAAACTTTTTTTTTCCTTTGAGGACCTTTTGAATTTACTAATGACCACCAACTCATTGCAATAAAGACAGATCTGCTAGGAGGACTGGGTTGTACATTCTCAGAATGTTAATAGCACTGAGATGTGCAGTTCTATTACTTCTGACCCAGGTGGGACTTGGGTAGCTGTTACAAAACTGAGTATCTGTATTAACCTGACATTTGGATGAGGGCTGGCTTTATTAAAGTGAACTGAAAAAATGGGGGTGGTGTAGGAATCACTGGAGGAATTCATGCTGGCCCGTTCAGGGAAGAGTATAATTGCAAACTGGGTAATCAGGAAGGTTTCTAAAGTCAGTGTTGTGGAGGCAGAGGAGGGTAAGCTGTAGGAATCATAGTGTATAAAAGTGTACATTCTAAGAAAAACAATTTTTGCCTTGAAGGTGCATCTTGGGTAAGCTGGGGCCTAATAAAAGGAGCAGAATATACTGGTAAAGCTATCCACAAAGGAGCTTCCAAACTGCGAGAACACATTCAACCAGAAGAAAAACCTGTGGAAGTCAACCCAGCTGTAGCAAAGGGGCTTCACGTAGCAAAACAGGCAACTGGAGGAGCTGTGAAAGTCAGCCAGTTCTTGGGTAAAAATTTCCACCTCAAAGTATATTACATTTCTGCATTAAATAATAAATATTCTGTAAAATGGGAGCTGGTTTCTCTAGCTGGTGAACTAGGGGGGACTGACCTGATGAAATTCAGCGATCAGGAGTTTGTGCCTAGGTATCTCCTGCCATAGATGTGCCTTAGGACTAATATTTATTATATGGCCTTGAAGCATCTTTTTCTTTCCTAAAAGAATAGTCTGTACAGTCTTTAAATTTGGCTGTTTTTCTACGTTTTAGACAGTGAATTCAGAGTGGCGTCTCTTTCTTCTTCAGCTGAGAGTCATGTACTTCAAAAGCTGTACTGTACCGCTGGAGAATGTGTGCGTGCATGGTTTTAAATATGCACACCAGAAACAAGTCCAGTAGAGGGTGTATCAACTTCCAGACAGAAATGGTCTGGTGTTCAGAGGTGCTTGGCAACCCTAGAAGCTCTCTGTAACTTTCTTCTGTTATTTACTTGCATCAGTGGTCATATTTAGTGTCTAGTGACTCATCCAAGTTTAAAAGCAAATTGTGCTGGATGTTCTAAACTACTTTGGAGAGCTGGAATGATTATAAGAAAGACTTCTCCAGGTCAGGAAGGGAACACAGCTTGATCCCTACCTACAAGTTGGGGATAACAAAGCAATGGAAGCCGTTTCTTAAAATTAGAGCATGTGACATGTACATATTTCTTCTAAAGTGCTTTTCAGACATAAGACCAACCTCACTTGTTTCTTAGGAATTGCAGCTGTGCAGAATCTGAAAGAATAGGTTGCTTCTTTGTCAGTTTGCTACCTAAGCGTGGATGAAAGTCTGTCTTTCAAATAAACATATTTAAATAGAAACAACACTTAAGACTTTGGTGAAGCTTATTTAATTAGAAGTAAGGACTTTTAAAGAAAGATGTTCTTACTAAATAATGTGTGTACTGTTGTTTTGTGGTAGTTGAAGGTGTGTGTTCTATTGCAAGCTATGTGGGAAGGGAGCTGGCTCCCCATGTGAAGAAGCATGGCAGCAAATTAGTTCCAGAACCCCTTAAGAAAGACAAAGATGGAAGATCCAATTATGATGGTGCTCTGGTGGTAGCAGCAAGTGGCGTTCAAGGTAATAAAAATTCCTTATGCTTTTTTAATTGCATACTTTTCAGTGCTGTGAACTCAGATAAGCTGTTCATTTCTTACAGGGCTTGCAACAGTGTGGCAAGGTTTAGAAAGTGCGGCAAAGTGCATTACTAAAAGTGTTTCAACTGAGACTGTACAAACTGTCAAATACAAGTAAGTTTTATGGGTTTCATCTTCCACCACGTATTGTCATTGCGTTTAAATACCAGCAAAAACAAACAAAAAAAAGCTGATGAAAGCGCAGGGAAGCTAAGTGAAGTGAAGTGAAGTACCTGCTTTGCTCTAATTATGCAGCACGTGATAAGCCACTAAGTGCACAGTAATGAGCATCTCCTGTAAGTAAAAATATGAAATGAGTAAAAAATTATTGTGGTAATTTTTTTAGCTCTCTTCTAGAAGTATTCCAGCTTTAGGCTGTGTTACAGATAAAGTTCAGATTTGTATCATTGCTCTACAGTATGATGTCATTATGAGAACAGTTACTAGTTTAAGCCTGTCAGCTCTGATCCTGAATTTATGTAGACTTTGGTAAATTTAAGAAAAATGGAAGAACTTCATCTGTCAGCAGGTCAGACTGAAGCAAGGAAGTACAAAAATAAAGTGTAAGGAAATCTGAGGCATAAATAGCAATAATAGGATAGCCTCGGCTTGCAAAATACAAATGTTCTTAGAGAAAGGTAATGGTAGAAGAGGATAGTAACATTTGGAATTAAGATGATGTTACTAAGATGATGGAAAGAACCAAGTTGAGTGTGTGTACTGGAAGAGGCTGTGGAGGATGAGGGAATACACTGAAATAACTGTAAAACGTATGAAATAAACCCCTCAAGAAGTGTGATAGGTATAATAGAAAGTGAAGAGTAAGCAAAAGCATGTAAGTTAAATGGAATTGGTCACAAGTGCAGCAAAAGAGATGGTAAAAAGGATTGCTGAAAGTGCATACAGGATATGAGCAGAAGGTAAGAAGGTGAAGATCAGTATACAGTATGAAGTGGGTTGGCATTTAGGGTTGTGTTGTGATGCATTTTGAATAGGAGGCTAGATAGTGAAGTTCCAGTCAGTGGTGCTGTATTGCTAATGTTTGTTTTAGAGGTATCGTACTCGTTTCATATCAATTCACATGAATGTTTTTGTTTTAGATATAAAAATAGGAAATGTGGAGATCAGCAGTCAACAGCCACTAAGAGTGAAAAACAATAAGTAATTAAATGTTGCAGTTAATTACAATCGAAAATATTTGATATTTGATATTTAGATTCTGTCTATATTAAGGTATTGAAATTCTGCATAATACCTCTTGTAGAAGCTGGTTTCTGTTTTAGTGACAAAGATTTCTGCCATTCAATATACTTCAGTGAATGAGCTAAATTCCACTTAATGGAAACAAAGCTAAAGGAGCATCATCACAGCAGCTTGAAATCAACAAAAAACCTCAGCTAAAACTTAGCTGCAATACCTTTGCAGATGGAATTATAAACAAATGCTCCTCCTATGTGTATGTTGATCAGAACTGGGGAAAACTTAGCTTCAGAAGCAATATTTCTGCCACAGTACAGTGCTACCACTTTGGGTTTTTTACAATTATATGGGCAGTACCTACATCTGCCTGACTTTTTTTTTTTTAAAAAAAAACAAAAAAAAGTAGTTGCAAATGATGCAGTTGAGACAGGCAAACTGAAAAATCAATTATCAAATATTAAGAAATTGTTAGTCTAAGTGTGTTGGATAAGTGTTTTACCTTAAATAAGGTTACCTATTTTACTGATGATAGATAAACTGGCTTATGACATTCCTGAGGTGAAGTTAACTAATCAAATTGACAAATAGTGCGCTTTTGCTGTGAGGTTAATTCTGTGATCTGCAAACCAAGGCTGTTACTCTATCAGAGACTTAAAAATAAACCAAAAAAGCACTAACTCTTTTTATTCAGTTTTGTTGTTAGTTCCAGCCATTATGCCATGGCTGATAATGCGATAGATTTTTGGATTCAGTGATGTTCTGTGCTTCTGTCTAGCCTTATTTTGAGGTCCTCAAAGACTCTCTGGTCATAAGAAGCATAGGGAAAAAGTAACTCTGTTAACTTCTGGGATTCTGATGCTGCTAGGAATCCTTCCCTTTGGCCTGGTTTGTCTGATTACAGTGCTCTCTGGGGAAGAGTCTGGCTGCCCAGAAGCCAGAGTTACGCTGGAGTTACTGCTGTCACTATACTCTTGTCCTCCTTCAGTAAGCTCTCTCTGCTGGTGTAGATGTGTACCTGTCTTCACACTTGAGTAATTAACATGAGACTTGCATCCTCAGCCATAAAGAAGCTGGACTCACAGCCCAGTAGAGAGACCAGAGGTTTTCTCTCTTGGTAATTGTCAACAAATCCTCAAGATAGCTTTGTGGAGCCTTTTGAGGCTTTGTGTAACTTCTTCCCCCCCCTGCACCGAGATCACAGTGAGTCCACTTTTGGGACTTGGAACTAACATGAATATGCCTGAGGTGATTCCAGTCCCTTTTCTCTAAGTGCTGAGAACATAGGACAGTATTTGCCCTCCCTCATCCTCAGTGCTGCCACTCATGGTACAGACTGAGAAGGTTTAGCAACTGCAAAGGTCTGTCTGTGAGGACTTAAATGGGGCAATAGAAGGTACCAGGAGTTTTACCTAAGGACTTAGGTGAAAAAGCACTTGGGGTCACTGCACACGACTCCCCCTCCCTGCCCCACTTCTGGTTCTATGGATAAACCTTCTGTTCTTCTCTTCAGAACTAGCAGGCAAGGAGGGAGAAAGACTGAAAGGGGTTTTTGAGGAAAAAGGCAGAAGCATATTGGTATCTTTAAAGAATAATCTGTCTGATAGAGGAGCACCCCTTACTCGAATGGCTTGGTAGCTTTTAGTTTTATTCTTTAGACATTCAGGCTGTGTGCTTCTTATTTGCTAGTGGTAACGCTGAAATTATTGCTTTCAAAAGGATTCTAGTGAGGAGAAAAATATTTAATATACTTATCAACAAAACTGCCGTCTTTCTTAAGGTATGGAGATGATGCTGGCAAAGCTACAGACAACGCTATGAAGTCTGCAATCAACGTTGGTGTGACAGCATTGAACATTGACAATATCGGTATCAAAGCTGTTGTACAGAGAACTGCAAAGGAAACCGGCCATGCGGTGTTAAATGAATATCAAGTATTGGATAATGAGAAGAAGGATAAAAAATGAAAGTCACGGAATATTTCTCAAAGCCTTACCTTAGAGAGGAAACTTCTTATTTAGAAATAACTACATTGCTAATTTGCAGTTTTACACAAATCACACTGTACTTCTCAAGCAACCGTTACTTAATTTGACATGAAAATGTGAAAGTAGGGAGGGCGTTCATAGAAGGAAAAATGAAAGTTGTCTTAACTCCTTGTTTTGTATTGAACAAGGGTTCTAAACAACTGCATCGGCGCTTTAGACAACTGGAAGGATATGAGTTTGCAGCTGATAAACTTGCATCTGTAAGCACTTTTTCAAAATATATACTATGGAAGAATATATTATTATAAAAATACTACTATGAATATTTTTGTAATACTTTATATTTGTGAAGAAGGTGGTGATACAGAAGAAATAGGATTACTGATTCAGGAACAAATAGGACTACTACTTTTGTTAACTATCCTTAAGAGTTAATTGAACTAAACCAGCCTTGTCTTATTTAATATGCACTACTAAAATAAGCTTTGTGTTTCATTGTTTTGTAGAGAATTTCTCTTTTCAGCTACCAAACAGCTAAGCTTATCCAAAGTTCATGTTTTCTTGTTAGAAGAAATGAAAGATGAATCTCAGGTAACTACATAGTTATTTCCTTTAAAACTATTTTTTCTCCATTCAGCATCTAAGCAAACCAAAGATATCAAGCATTTCTTCTAAAAGAGGGTATTTACAACTCCAGAAAAAATATATTCTCCAGTTGGTTCCATAAGGTATATAGAAAGATTCTTTAAAATTGAGATTTTTATGTAGAGAAGACAAGCATGTTTTTTCATAAAGTATTTTTTCTGTAAAAACATTGTGTAGAGAAAAATAGGAACTTCTATGCATTCTGTACTTTAACCTAGAAAGATTCAGAGTATATATCATGGCCTCGTAATGGAAGACATTATATATTTGCTTCAACAGGTAGTCCTAACAGTCAGCATCGTTATTCCATTAAATTCATAGATGCATGAGGTACATCTTTAAAGGGTATGAAGACAAGCCCTTTAAATGAAGAGATCTGTGTGGAATAGAATAGACAATATGGCGTAGGTTTGGCATCCTATTCCTAGAGTAGTGTGAAGTAACTCCATACGTAGAACCCTTGAGATGCTTTTACACTGCTACTTACTTAACAGTTCATCATTGAGTTTTAAGGCTGCTACACATTCTAATATTGGCTGGGCCTGCAGCAAACAGAACACTATCAATTTACAACTTATCTCCATTCCATATAAATGGAGAAAATAACTATGAATAGTCATTAGCAATTAATAGTTGCATCAGATAGAAACAATGCAGTCACAGCTGAAGCAGACTAGAATGGTAAGTGGTGCACACTTTGTGGTAGCTAATGTAGGTGTGTACTTAGCATGAGAAATGTGAAGCAAAGGTTCTAACCACTTGAAGTGGAACTGTGATTTATGGAAATAAAATTAAAATTGGTTAATCTGCAATTGGTCTTTTTGTGATGTGAAGCTACCGTGCAGATCAGTGAGTGGAAAGACTGGGGCTTCTGAAGTCATGAAAGAGCAGCATTGGAGTATGTCTACAATAGAAACAAGCTCATCAATTACAGCTTAAAATATTTCAAGCTAAAAAGGTCCATCAAAAGTACAATTTCTGTTACTACAGTCTGTCCCTTGCCAGCAGGTGTAACCAGTTCAAGGCTACTCAGACCTCACACTAGCATAAGCATTTTGTTGTAAATGCAGCTAACAACAACAAAGGATGTATGTATTTGTGTCTTCCTTCTCCCTCCCATTTTGGTTTTACGTGTAGCTCATGCCCTGTAGTTTAATCTCGAAACCATCAGAACAACAGGTTGTATTCAAACAATAGTCTTCAACAGACCATGTTGTAGCACACTGAGGAAAAGAAGATGTAGATGCCATTGGTGTCAGGCAAGCCTTGTCCTCTTCAACCCACTGTTGTTCTCTTCACATGTACTCAGTCTTTCAAATTTGTCTCAAAGTAGATTAAAGCTGTATTTTTTTTTTAATTAATAATACCCCATTTTACAGTTTTTAATGTAAAATCCATGCTCTTCCCTTTCCCATTGTTCCAAAGTTTAGTTAATTCTCACTGCTGAAAGTACTGTGGTGTTGAACTTACCCTGCTTCAGCTGTCACTACTTGGGCCCTGGGCAGCAAATCCATAGGCCTCTCCCCAGCTCCTCTGCCATGCACAACAGCCTTCGTGCACTTCCTGCCTTCTCTCAGCTCTCCCTTTTATACGCTGCACACACTAAGCTCCCCAGGCCTCGTACCTAAGCTCTGGTTTCTCCTTTGAACACTGAACATCATCTGATGTCTGGCAGTCCTGGAGGTAGTCTTATGAATGCTGTTTACTGGGGGAACTGCTACCTCATTTCTGAATGCACTCTTACTTCCAAATTAACTTATTCAAAGTTTTTTCTGCTACAATAACTGCGTAACTGGTGAGTGATCCCTCCTTGTCACTTTCTTGACCCACAAAACTTTCCTTATGTATTCTCCTCCTCATCTCACTGTGGGGAAGAGCGAGCGAGCAGCCACATGGTGCTTGGCCACCATCTGGGATTAAACCGTGACACAAACTAAACCTGTAATCCTTTAAAAAAGAATTAGTAAAAGTACCTTCCACTAAAACATGCTGACCAACTCACTATGGAGTGGTGTGGGTTGGTAGAGACCTCTGCAGGTCCCAGACTACAGCAGTCCATAGTCCACCCTCCTCGAACCAGGTCCAGCTGGGGCACAGTTGTCCCGGTTTAGGCCCAGCTGGCACCAAGCACCACACAGCCACTTGCTCACCCCACTCCCGGTGGGATGGGGAGGAGAAAATAAAGGAAAGGCTCATGGGTCAAGACAAGGACAGGGAGGGATCACTCACTAATTGTCATCACAGGCAAAACAAGCCCAAACTGGAGAAGAAAAACCAATTAGTTACCAGTCAAATGAGAGTAGGACAATGAGCAGGCTCTTCTCCCATTCCAGTTCCCAGACCATCGTTAGACCTGCTGTCCTGTGCTAACCCAACCAGTGTGGTCTGGGCTTAACCTTATGTATCCTGTGACCTAGTTCCTGAGAGCTTACCTAGTTAGGACACCTAGTAATCCCTGAGTTGAGGCTTGGACCTGAAATTATCCTGGAGAGGAGGTCAAAAAGTCTCCTGGGGCAGAGAAAGTACACTCTCTCTGGCCGGGATACAGCCCCTCCCAGTTTCCCTGTGCTCTTTGTTCTCAGCCTTCCTTGTGATTCCAGGGATCTTTCTGAGCTCTCTGCTGTGCCCTCCAGTTGAGAACTGTTCAATAGGCTGGTAAAGTTAATCTTCAAACTGTTCTTCACAAAAACTGATAACAAGAAAAATGGTTCCTGCTTAACGCTCTGGCTGTCAAGACTCAGTACCCTGAGTTAGCTATGAATGCAAACCTAGGTCCAAGTCATTACTTAAATTATTGGTCTGGTATGGAATATGTTTTTAATATGTATCTTAAAAAGGCAGCATTCAGTAAATCCTGAAGGCAAAAACAGTAGCTAAATTTAAATGCAGTTGCAGGGCACCACTGCTAAATTTGTTTCTTGATTAAAGTATTTCAGACAATTTTGAATGCAATCCACACCTCAAGTGATCATTCACTGATTACAACTTCAGACTGTCAATAATCACCTCCTGCCCTAATATATATCAAACAAGTGAAATTAAAATCACTTTTTCTTCTTACGGTCAAGCTTCTCACTCTGCATCCTACCGTTCTAACTGCAGACCCTGCTGCATTAGTGACTGCGGTGTCAGTAAGGTGTTAGATCGATCCGTACCAGTGTCACACAATTTAGGGCTGAAATGCACAAAATTTTCAGGGCTGACTTTCGGATGGCAATGCTGATTTATGCTGCATTAAAGAAATGGTAATACATCACCCGCGTTTCAGACTTTGAAAGCGTTGCCCCTGAAACCCAACAAGCTGTGACGCTATTGAATTGCTCATGCACCAGAATTACTTGTGAGTAACTGAGAAACTATAACCTTGGGTATTTTTTCATTGTATATCAGTAAAGCAAAATTACAGTCCATCTCCTTCCCAAGAGAGTGAACAGAGAGTTCCTCTATGAACATATCTACTAGGTTCCATGAAATGGTGAGCTGAGCTATGAGCACACTAATCCCAGTTTCACCCCGTCCCTGGGTGAAACTGGTACTTTTCTGAGGAGCTGGTGAACCATTTCAGCTCACTAACCAGCAGAAGCTGCAAACATCAAACATTTTCCCTGATGGAAGTTTTCTAGGTTTCCTGAGCTGTACTGGCTTATCATAGAGTCAGAGTTGGCACTAAAGCCACTGGAGAAAGCAACAGGGAGAGCCTGAGAGGTGATGGCCACTCTTGCATCATTAAGCTGTTAGATTAATTCAGTCCACCCCATCAAGCTTTACCTTGAGAAACCCATGAACTGCTCTGAAATTCCTGGTTTGAAAAATGCAGCATCAAGCATTTTTAAACATGAATCAATACCATTGTAAGATAATTAAAATATTAACCAGTATTTGTTGACTAACTAGCTCCAGTGACTTGATGAAAAGCTGGACATGAGCCGGCAGTGTGCGCTGGCAGCCCAGAAAGCCAACCGTATCCTGGGCTGTATCCAGAGAAGTGTGGCCAGCAGGTCGAGGGAGGGGATTCTCCCCCTCTACTCTGCTCTGGTGAGACCCCACCTGGAGTACTGCGTCCAGCTGTGGAGCCCTCAACATCAGAAGGATATAGACTGGTTGGAGCGAGTCCAGAGGAGGCCACGAAGATGCTCAGAGGGCTGGAGCACCTCTGCTATGGGGACAGGCTGAGAGAGTTGGGCTTGTTCAGCCTGGAGAAGAGAAGGCTCTGGGGAGACCTTATAGCACCTTCCAGTACCTGAAGGGGCTACAAGGAAGCTGGGGGGGGACTTTTTACAAGGGCCTGTAGTGACAGGACAAGGGGTAACAGGTTTAAATTGAAAGTGGGGAGGTTTAGATT